GGGGGGGGGGGTCGTGATTCCGTTTCACTATCACGCTTTGATCGTTTGGGTCACGGATAATCTCACTACTTTGACATCGAAATGACACGTTATGCGAACCTCTTTACCAAGACGAGGCGAGTATACACTGAAAGCATGGCTTGGATTAAACGACATGGACGTTGTTACATGTTGGCTGAATTCAAGTCTCATTTGTGATTTCATTGGGAAAAAATATCTGTGCCGTTGACATTTGAACTCTCCTTGTAGATGCGTTGCATTACAAGGCCTAGGCCGTTCCTTGTTATTGAAATTTTCAAAATATGCAATGTAGTACTTATTGGCCTAAATATTCCTTGTTAGCCATATCGTTTATACTGCAGGGTCATTATAATTCTGTTCTACTCAGGGTGCGCGCAACATTTACACAAAGGAGGAAATTTTCAGCGAATTTATTGAAAAGCCCAAGAGAAGTCTGACGGGAAAGAAAACAATTTTAATATTCCACTGCGAGTTCTCATCCAAGAGAGGACCTGATATGTGAGTAGGAGAATTGAATGAAATAGAGATTTTTCCCTGCTTTACTTAATAAAAATTCCCCTGGAATCTTCAGCCCTCAGTTTTGAGTTAGTATGCAATCGGGACACAATCTGACTGGTCTAAAGAGTACACACTATACTTACTGGAGTGATTCATAGTTTGTATCATTTTGTAGCTTGAAGTTCATCGAACAAAAGACGAACTCGGAGAAAAACATAATTCGAAGCGACAGATTTATTGCAATTAAGGCTGTATGTTGTTTTCGTCGATCGAACCATCTTTGCATTTAGTTTGCTGTTGGTAGACCTTGGTACACCTAGAACCTGAATTCTAAAGCCCCGGCCAAACGATCGCAACATGTCAACGCAACATATTGCAACATTGTTGGGCGCAACATGTTGCGCGCATTTGGCCACCGTGTTGCGACGTGTTGCGACGTGTTGGGTGTTGTTGGCTCAAGTTTGAAACTGGTCAAATTTGAGCCAACAACACCCAACATGTCGCAACAGAGTGGCCAAACGCGCGTAACATGTTGCGCCCAACAATGTTGCAATGTGTTGCGTTGACATGTTGCGATCGTTTGGCCGGGGCTTAAAAGTGATCATTCGTCTTTCCACTGAAAAGGCCTTGAATTCTCTTTACCTATCCACAAGTGTGTGGTCGACACAAGGAGGACAGGTGGAACCCGTAGGAAGCTGTAGCTTGTGATTTTCGCATAGCAGACAAAATCAGGTGGATTTTTGTCTTCCTTTTCACGCCAAATAAACAAAAGTCCATGTGCATTCCCAAGTTTCTTCTCCCACAGTTAAAAAATAACATTGTCAAAGCCTCGCTACATGTTTTGCCATCGCTCGGCAAGAATTGCCCAACAATAGGAAGTGGAGGTGACCCGTTCACGAGGCGAGCTGGAAGGAAATACCTAACAGATGGCTATAAGGGCATTTTAGGGTTTTGATATTGAAGTTCTGTGCCGTTGCTCTCTAGGTCACGCTTCTTAAGGAATAGAGACCGCGATGTTCATTATCACATGTATCCTAAACTGTTCTACCCAGAACTGTACCTCATAGAGGGAGGATACAAAGCATTCTTTGGCAAATGCAAGGTAAGGGACATTCTTGGTGTAAAGTCGGAGCTGAGCAAATTTTGCAGTTCTGCCGGAATCTGGCTGTTTGCTAGATTTCCCTCTGAGTTGCAGAACTGCGCATTGTTGACTTGTAGGTCTTGCTCAATAGACCATTCTCGTATTCTCGGTATTGGACTGGAACTAGCTTGCAAGTGAGGCTAATGCGAGGAGTCTCTTCAAGTGATATTCTCTCGCATGAGCCTCCATTTCAAGCTAGTTCCAGTGCAATAGCGAAAACTGAATACGAATATGGCTTATTGTCATCAGGTCCTCCGTTCTTTCAGGAGGCCTTATCGGGGGTAGTTCATTGTATGTTGAACTCCGTTTTTCTATTTTTCAGGAATTCTGTGAACCCCAGTGCTATCTGCCGATGTTGGACGAAAACCACTCGCAAGACCTGAAGCGGTTTTCTAAGCGATCCAAATCAGAAGGAAACATACTCACGAAAGGATTCCGCCCTGGATTAGGATATCGCCGCTAATCCACACTACTCACTCGTCAACAATCTTCACCTCTACCAGTAGAAGCTCATAAACAGCTCCTTTTCTCTTGCAATTTTTTCGTGCTGAAAATTATTCCTGACTTGTTATTATTTCTCTAAGCAATATAAGAATTGAATCTTACTCGTCTTGGATTCCAGTTATCTTGTTTCTAAATTCGAGCTCTTCATTGACTCAAACTATAAAAAGCTCTCAATTTAAATTTTCTGTGCTGAACTATTTGCACTTAAAAATGGCCCATTACCCAACGTGAAAGTGTTTTCAACGAGTGTTTTCGTTTTATTCAATTACAAGTAAACGATAATTATTTGTGCAAATACTGTAGGCTTAGATAATCCAAAGCTATAATTGAAACGAAAAGATTGTGTTTCATCTACTTCGTGTAATTGTAGGAGGAATCTGTGTGAGATGGGTGTGGAATTTTTTCGATGGTGTGTTCATAATATGGGCATTTTTATCTGTTCTAACTGGCTATGTGCCTGTTCTTGTGCTAAATGTGTAAAAGACTTCTGGAAATGCGGCGCAAAGCTTAAAAGAATTTACATCTTCCAGTCTGTAGGCAGAGTGATCTTTCCTTAATTAAATCCTTTTTCTTTCGTATTTTTATTCTTGTTTTCTTTTTTTTTTTTTTTTGCTTTTCGACCGTACGGCTACAAGGACTCTAGAGCTAATGTAATATTTGTGTATAGTATACTGTGTAAATAACTTTTCTTGCTAGAATCTGTAATAAAGTATCTTAAAATGAATTCGCAATACCGGCCAAGCCGTAATTGTTACCATATCCGATTTCCCTACACTTTTTTATTATTAAAATATTGTTTTCCGGTTCTCTTCGTATAACGGCTTGCTCCTAACACATAAACCAAGTATTTACCCTTGATATCAGGCCTTGCCTAACGAAATATTGGAAGCATAGCGTTTTGACCGAACTGTAAGGTCGCGCTACTATTGCACTCTTGAGGAGGTCGACTATTTGGACAAATAGGTCCAATTTTTCACATATGTTTTGGATTTTCAAGTGAGTTACCTGTTGAAACAAATTTTGAGTGGAAGATAAAACAATACATTGACGAAAGAGCCATTAGTGTTACCCGTTTCTGGGCTACTTATATCGTAAGTTTGTATTTGTGAACCATTCTCGGGGGACAACTAACTAAACATATAAATAATTGATTCAAGAGACTTGAGATCAAGAAAACTAGGGCGGTCTCTTTGATAATAATCACTTGTGAATTTACTGTGATTTTTCGATCAAACATCAGTCATGGGACCAAGGTGGCCTTGTTTGCTGTGGAAACTGTGGTAAGTTGTAAAACATTCCTATTGGCTTGCAGATAACAAACGCAGGCTGGCGAAGCTAAATCGGCTTATTTCAGTTTTATTTTGCTAAACGTTATCCACAGATAAAGGTGAGTCCGCCCTCTTACAGCAAACCGCGCTATTCGCCGTTAAAGCCTGACATTTGGTCAGTGCTAGTGCAGAATTATTTCCTGGGCTGCTCAAGAATATCAGCCGGTATCACCTTGTGATCGCGAAGAACATTTGTGTAAATCCCGTATCGGATGCCTCAGTAAATACTATGTTTTATTAATTGCGCACGCATTATTCCTTTGGATTACTAGCGTGTGAACTATTGACTCTGACTTTCCACCAAAGGCATAAAGTTCTAGTTCAGCCGGTTGCACCTGGTCCTTTAAAAAAATTGACGCGCGAATTGTCACTGAATTGTGAAAGAACTACATGAGGCACGTCTGAAGATTTTGCTAATTTTAAAGAATCTACCACCTGTTCTAACGTGACAGCTTTTGTCCAGCTTAGTCTCCGAGGACGCGAAAAATCACTGAAACGACCTCCTCTTACTTAATTTTCTTTCATCATAAATTATACCTTTATTACATTGGCACTCTAGTTCATGTGATAAAACGTTTTCCAAAGCGCCAGTATCATTTAACAAATGAGGAAACCGTAAAACACCCGTAGATTTGATAACAACAACATTAAGACACGTTCGCTCCGCGGGGGTCTCCCATATAAAGCACGTGACGGGGGTGCTCGTCGTAAAGTTTTTAAGAGAATCCTAAGGGGTACCAAGATCACGCTCTGTGGGCGTGGCTTGAAATTTTTTCACCCTTAAGTGGTACAAATTCTAAGACAACACATCATCTCCTGTCATTTTTTCTCGATTCAATACCCTAAAATGTACCGCGAAAGCACCCGCTGTGGACCTTTTGAGGCTGAACACTCTAAGAAAGCTTTTTTAACCCCTAAAAGGTTTGACGAAGCCCCCGCCCTTTTTATATGGGCGTTCCCNTGCCCCCAGCCCCCTCCCCCCGAGAGTTCGCTCGTATATGTTAACTGTCTGTCTGCAAAGAAACATTTTCGGCGAGGTTTTCTGTTTATATTGTTTGCCCTTCAGTTCTGAGTTTGAATAATCTCAAACCTGACCCTTGACAAAAGCGGTGAAAAAAAAAAAAATCGTGCAATAAAAAATTAATACTTTGGTTAGGTTTTAATCCTGGGTTAGCATTGACCGGCTTTGGAAAAACCCAGCCCTGGGTACCGTGCGTAAATTGCTTCCGCGAAGACTTCAATCTATCCGACTATACTCTCCACACGGGCAAACGTAAATGGAGTACTCCCTACCCCAGGGGGTACAAAACAAGGCTTTCGGTTTGGAAAGTCTCGTGCTGCTAGTTCAGTGCGATCATGTTCATTTTGTCCTTTTCTCTACCTAGCGAGGAAGCATAGTCTCCCTATTAATTACTGGTTGGTGCGTTGGAGCAGGATTGAGAAGTCTGGGTCCAAACTCTTGTCCGTTCATTACCAGGGCGTAGCTACGCAGTAACAGGCCAACCGAGGCTTTTGCCTCAGTCATTTTGTTTCGTTTTTGCTTTTTATGTGTTTCTATTTGTCGTTTCAGCCTTGTTTTGGCCTCTGTCAACTTATCGTATGTGCTTGGAAAGAATAAAAAGAAGGCGTCAACCTGGATAGCGCCCAGACCCCATATCATCATGATTGTTGCTGATGACCTGGTACGGAGTTGGGAGTTAAATCTTGTTTAGGCAATTCGCTTTCGCACAAACTAGCCTTGAAATCAAACAACACTTTTTGGCTTCGTATGTGTCAAAAAACAACAGCTTTTAATTGATTTAATTTTTGCTTTGTATATTTCTTGTTTAGGGCTGGGATGATGTCAGTTTTCATGGCTCACCCCAGATCCCAACTCCACACATTGACAAATTGGCTAACTCTGGAGTTATTCTTAACAGCTACTATGTGTCTCCGATTTGCACTCCTACCCGGGCCTCTCTTATGACTGGGAAACACCCGGTCAATCTAGGTAAATGTCAGGAAACATTTTGAGTTGTTGTCATTATTTTCGTTATACCCTACAATAAAGTAAAAGTTGAACCTTTTCGAACTTCAAGTTGTTTAACAAGCAATTACCACAAGGTCTCTTTGCCAGCAAAAGAGACCACAGTTTAAGCCTTAAACCCTGAATGTCGCAAGAAAGTTCTCTAATGGTGATGGTCTCTGTGTTGTTGCAGGTGTTCAACATGCAACTATATTTGGTACTCAGGCATACGGTCTACCCCTGGGTGAAGCAACAACACCGCAGTACCTCAAGTCGCTTGGATACAGAACGCACGGTGTGGGAAAGGTAAAACATTTACCTGAAGTACAAAAGTAAGTAGACCGCGGATCCACTCTGCTAGACCGCCTCGAGGATCCGCTGCTACTTTGACAATGTTGAGACGAAATTCATGATCAATAACAGGACAGACGCATGAAAAACTGACGTCAATTTGTTAAATTCATCTTACAACTCGAGCGATTATTACTGGATTTAAACATAACTTAGAAATTAGCTGGCGCACTTTAGCTCGTGCTATCGTAACATTTTGTTCGTTGCAATATATTGGAACCAGCTAGAGGCCCCGTATTGGTGCTGACCAATTTTGTAGACGAAAATACAATGAATGACTCACTCTTCATTCATTCATTTCTCCTTGTAGTGGCATTTGGGTTTTTTTGAGAAGGAATACACACCAACCTACCGCGGCTTTGAGACTTTCTACGGGTTTTGGAATGGTAAAGAAGATTACTGGGATCACTCATCCCTGGAAGATGTCTGGGGCGTTGATCTCAGAGATAACATGAAGGTAAACACAGTGCGATTGATCAATCTGTAATTTCTTGTTATAGCAATATAAAGACAAGAAACTGCCTTGAATAATAAGTTCTCAAAACCGACATGCGGAGAAATATAAGGTTAATAAAAAGGAGAATTTAGACTTTGATCTTGCGATTCTCAGCATCTTTAAATAATTGTTTTAAACGAAAGAAGCTAAATAAACGCGCGCCTTAGCAGCAAATGTCAACGGAAAATGTCTTGATCACTTGGAAAAGTTGAGAGTATGACTCGTAATCTACCTTAGTTTCATTAAAAATTCAATCATTTTGGTTTTGGTTTGGTCATTTAACACCCTTTGGTGTTTCCCTACCTGAATGAAAGAGTATTTTAATGAAAGCTTCCTTAAGCATGGTCACGTGTTAGTAAATAAAAATACAATAATTCACAGATTTCCTAAAAGAAATATACTACAGAATGTGATATCGTACTAACGAATTGGTAGCGCAACTCCTTTAAAGGGCAAACAATCCTTTCCTATTGAAAGTGTAGTGACTCCTCCAGCACTTGTGTTTTCTACACTCGAGTGACGTATTTGTTGTTTCAGGCTGTGAGGAACGAAACTGGCCACTACGGAACTGAATTGTTCTCAGAAGTGGCTGAACGAATCATCGACACTCACAACAAGTCTGAGCCGCTATATTTGTACCTTGCACAGCAAGGCGTTCATTCAGCTAATGGACTTGAGCCTTTACAAGCGCCACAAAGACTTCTTGATGTAAGTAACAACAGGTTTTTTTTCTTAATCACTAAGGGTTTCTTTTCCTGGTAATGTGCCTTGGAATCAGGGACAACGTCTGAGAAGGTATCGCAGTATGCCTAGTAAAGAAAACAATAGAGCAATAATCAGTGTAACCTTTGTGAAAGTATATCATTTCCAAGGAACTTCACCGAAGTGTAGTGGTTGCCGTGTAGTTGCCAAGATGTCTACAAAACCCTTTGTCTGTCTGAGTATGCTTGTTTCAGTGAACCTGTCTGTGTCCATGTTGGTTCGGAATGCACGCGGGTGTCTGCCTGCCTGTCTGTCTGCAGTCAGTCAGTCAGTCTGCCTGGCTGGCACACTGACTGACTGACTGGCTGAGTGACTGACTGACTGTCTGACTGACTGAGATACAGACAGACAGACAGACAGACAGACAGGCAAGCAGAAAAAATAGAAACAAAGAGACAAAAATACTCTGAACTTTCTGTTGACATTCCAACCTTTGGCGTCGAAACGAAATTGTATGATCTTAAATTAATTATCTCTTGACTTCCTCTCTCCTCAGAAATTTCCCCACTTTTCATCAGAAGAAAGAAGAATCTACGCTGCTATGGTGGCTTCGTTAGATGAATCGGTTGGAAACATTACAAAAGCTCTTAAAAGAAGTGGATTGTATGACAACTCTGTTCTCGTTTTCACGACAGATAACGGAGGCGCTCCACGAGGATTTAACTGGTAAGAAAATGGCATCACTGACCATAAAAGTGGTAAATGAACTTTTTGGAGATAAATTTGCTTGACGACCGGGACAGGATTCCGAATTAAAGCTGCAGAAAAAAATTAAAGGCATATCTCGGGGTTGAAGCGTTTTCTTATCACTCTCTCTTTTCTTAGGAATCAAGGTTGCAATTATCCATTCAAAGGAGGCAAAGACACATTTTGGGAGGGAGGAGTCCGTGGAGTAGGATTTGTACACAGCAATTTGATAAGAAAAAAAGGTCGAGTCAGTTATGACTTGATCGACGTCACAGACTGGTTACCAACCTTCTATCATCTGGCTGGAGGTGACGTCAGCAAGATACAAGAAAGGATCGATGGCATGAATGTGTGGGAAACCATAGCGCATGGAAAGAAATCTCCAAGGACTGAGGTACGATAACGGTTAACAATAGTTACCGTCTATAGTCCTTTTCAGGACTGCTCTCACCCCACCCGACCCAGACGATCATGTTAGACGAAGCACTGAATTCGTGATGTCGTTGATAATTGATAAGATAAAAACGAAAATTGGAAAATTTGTTATAGTAGGGTAAAAAGGGATGACTGAAGATAGCTGAAGATTGTGTGAATGGATCAGAGACGCATAACATGAAAACTGTAGGCCACATGTTTTGAAAAACGACTTCCGTTTAAGTGCGTTTAAGTTGCAGTCCTGTTGTTGTCTTGTTAACCGAGTAAATTTATAATCGAAAAACGTCAGCAGTTAGTAACAACGCGGTAGAAAAATTGCTCTACGAGGTCTGACAACCCTACTGATGCCATTAATTACAATGCCATTGTATACTTGACGTAAAATGACTGTGACATGCAAATGATGTAAAACAGCATTTTATGACCTGACAGTATAATATTTCTCCTAATAGAGAGCCCGGAATTTATGGGGCTTATTTCGACGAAGCTAAGGAGTTTTCATATTTGCATTGATATACGAAAACCATGTCATACGGCCTGACGTGACATAACACTCTAAAATATAGCTAAATATTTATGCAATCTATTCTACGGGTAAGGCTAAAGAAATTTTGTGCTTTCTTTGTTAGGTTCTTCACAACATTGATCCCATTCGTAAATTTGCAGCCATTCGTGTCGGGAACTACAAGTTGATTATTAACCAGGATGCTGTTTACAAAACAACGTGGCATCCGCGGTATGACGTCGAGGGGGAACTGGATACTCTACCCCAGCCCTCCACTTTACCCGGTGCAGTTATTAATTGCGGAAAGTGGTCAAAAAGGAAAGAAACTGTTTGTAACACTGATGACTTTCCGTGTTTGTTTAACATAAAGAAAGGTCAGTAAATTATACATGATGTCTGTTAGAAAAATAGTTGCATTTATTCCAAGATCGAATACCACTCCAAATCGAGTTTTTTTTTAAAACCTTTTTTATGGAATTTTTTGGTAATCAGGAATGGGGTAGTCGTGAGAACGCTCGCTTCCAACCAATGTGGCCTGGGTTCGATTCCGACCCGGTGCCATATGTGGATTGAGTTTGTTGTTGACTCTCGCCTTGCTCCGATGATTTTTCTCCGGGTTCTCCGGCTTTCTTTCCTCGACAGAAGCCAACATGTCCAAATTCCAATTCGACCTGGATAACATTGTAATTTTTTTTCAGATCCTTGCGAGTACAGAAACCTTGCGCACACTCATATTGACATTGTGGACCAACTTCTTCACAAGCTCATTGATTACCAAAAAAAGGCCAGTCCCGTGTGGTTCCCTGAGAGGGACCCCCTTGCGAACCCATCAAAAAACGGGACCATTGGATTTTGGGGCCCTTGGAGGTCGTCAACAGCTAACAAAATTATTTTAGATAACGTCCTTGATTCCATACCATCAGTGAGTGGGAAGAAACACTCTCGTCACACAAACGGCAAAAGCAATGGGAAGAAAATGGGAAAAGTGTTTAGCACTCACGAAGATAGTGACAAAGAGGTTTATCTGATGCTGGAGAAGATTCTCCAAAAGACAAAAGAAGGCAAAAAAGGTCAAATACCTCGAAACAGCAGGCTAATGAAAGAATCGTTAGCTATGTTGTACGCCAAGATGAGACAAAAGACCAAGGTGGATGATTTGATGCATAAACTGCAGATGATTAAAAAAGGTCGAGTAGCAAGGAGAAAAGAGCATACTCCTGTAAAACTTGTCAAGGAACAAACTCGCTCTAGCGCCTTGACCAAGATGAACTCTTCTTTGGAATCAAGCAAACTGAAAAAGTTCATGAATAAAAATCAACAAACGGTAGACAAAACAGGGACAAGGCGGACAGAGATTGAGAAAGTTCATATTACAGATGACAACTCTATAAATAATGGAGTTGACAACCCCTTGGAAATGCGCAGCAATTCAAGAGATGAGGACCAAGATATGGATGAGGCGCCTCCTTTGGACACAAGCTCAGGTTTTGAGGAAGTTGATCAAAATGATCTCGAGAATGGTGAGCTTATGGCAGATAACAGTGAAAATGACAGAAATTCATACGCACAAATAGAGGATGAATATGATTCTGAGGTGGAATCTTCGGGTCAGTCCACGGAGACAAACGATCAAACATCAGGGGGGAAATCTGAGATGGAATTTCAGGACAGCGATGGCATTAGCGATGACATGGATAACGATAATGATAATGATAATGACGATGATAATGACGATGATAATGCTAATGATAATGGTAATGATGATTTTATCCGGGACAATAATAAAAACTCTGACATTTACCTTTAATATAATTTTTAGAAGCTAAAAAACTTACCTAGATCATAACAAACCTGATATTAACGAGGTTATTTGTATAAGAGTAATCTAATATATAACAGGGGCTGTTTAGAAGTCAATAAGGCTACAGATTGTCAGGATAGATTTGGTGTGCCGTAAGGAGAAGATTAGAAAGTTATTTTATCGTAAGAACTGCTTTTTCACTGGTAATAAACTCAACAGTTTTAATCGGTCGTATACCATTGATACAGGTATTCCGAAATCTCGCTCGCCGTGTGCTGTCTCTAAATTTATTACTGTTCACTTTGCTAGCATTGCGATGAGTTTGCAAAGCTTGTTCAAATTTTAGTGCTTCAAAAGGTACTTTCTACGAAAATTTACGAGTATTTCAGAGATATCAGTCAGAGGCATAGCGCCTTGATAAGGCTTTCACTGGTTTCGAGTTTTTGACGTTTAAAATTGAGAGATTTTTCTTTCTTTCTCATTTCCAGTTCCCCAGCCCCCTATCTTCTACACACGCTGATTACATCAGCCTAGACCTCAGGCTTTACTCCAGGGTGGCGAGTGAGAGACACTGTCTTACTAAAACTAGGGATTCGTACTCCCCCTTGATCTAGAGTCAAACGCACTATTCATTTAGCCGCTCCAGTAGTAACATGAAGACTGAATCCATCAAAGGTATCACATATTAAATATATTTCATGCGAGGTAATAAACTATTAAATCAGTACTCGGATGTCGCTCTTCTTTAATTTTATTTACGTTACAGATTAAGCATACATTTTGACATTCGGATATCGATAAAATCTAACGATTTCCAAGAAAAAAGAAAAAAATTGGAGAACTCACTTTTATAGAAGCTACACAAGTATGTGAAAGGCCAATGGGCGTGATTATTGAACCATTTCATTTGAAACTCAGTTACCACTTTATACTTTGCGAACAACTAAAGCAAGATAGTTTTGCAAAACTCTCGAGATCCTTTGATACAAAGATGTCCTTATCTACCAAAGCATTGCATTGGACGCTTTCGTTACTTTACTGCTTGCCCGGGGAATGTGGCCCTTTTTGCGTTCTTCGTTAACCATTCGGAGAATTCCCTTCAGAGTCTGATAAAATTTTTTTTCTTCTGCCTCGTATGTATTAAAAGAGACCTTTTCTGTTTTTTCAGTTTTCTTAGTCTCACGTGCCGCGCATTTGCCCTTACATTTATGTTTTCTCTCAACTCCTGAAGGTAAGTTATCAATAACTTTCTGCAAAATAGCTTTGTTTTTCTTTGAGGACCTCCAAGGACTCCAAAACCCACAATGCTTTGCTGGGTCAGCTTTCGTGTCCGTCTCTGGAAACCACACAGGAAGGGCCCTTCTCTGGTAATAAATCAGCCTCAAGACCAGACGCCTTACTATGTCGATATGAGTTTTAGCAATGTTTTTGTACTCGCAAGGGTCTGAAAGAGAAACCAGGAGACGCATTGAACAATATTTTAAAATTCGATGACAAAGAATCGGCGGGATTGTAAGGTTTTAACAACTCGGCCAACGCAATTCCAAACTCGTATTTTCGTTAGGCTTCGTTTTATAGGTCGTTACCAGGAGGTCGTCACTCATTTAATGACTCATTTAAGGCCTTTGGCTTACAGAGAGGCTGACGGAGTCATTTAGTCAGCCAATCAGCCAATCAGTCATTCAGTTAGCCAGCCAGTCAGTCAGTCAGTCAGCCAGCCAGTCAGTTAGTCCGTCGCTCAGTCAGTTAGTCAGTCAGTCAGCCTGTCAGTTAGGCAGTACGTAGTCAGGCAGTCATGCAGTCACGCAGTCAGGCAGTTAGGAAGTCAGTAAATCAGTCAGTCCTCAGTAGGTCAGTCAGTTACGCAGTCAGTCAGTCAGTAAATCAGTCAGTCTTCAGTAGATCAGTCAGTTACGCAGTTATTCCGCCAGTCAGAGCCTTTGGCTGACAAAGTCATCCCGTCAGTCAGAGACTGGCTGACTGACTGACTTTTTGACTTGCATTCAGTCTGTCAATCAATCAATCAATCAATCAATCACTCA